CAGAGAGCCCGATGCGGGACTCGATCCCAGGACCCTGGGATCATGACCTGAGCCAAAGGCAGACGCTTAACCATCTGAGCCACCCAGGCGCCCCTTGTGTGAGTTCTAATAGAGAAATAGTTTTCAAATTTTGAAACTATAGTTCTTACCATCTCTTTAGAATGTTACTGATTTATCAGTTTAAATGTTTAATATCGTCTCTGTGGTTGGCTTAATTGGTAGCTTAAAACTAGCATTCAACGATTTCATTTACCATATAAAATAAACAACATTGATTGTGTATAGGTGTGTCAGAGGCAAAAATTGCATCAGCATAATAATTTCCATGTATGCAAGTCTGCTAAGGCCTTTATAGATAATTGTCTCCAAGAAATGTTAAAGATAAGGTAAAGGTTCTGTTACTACAATATGCAGAATTTGAAATAAGCATTTTGAGAAAGCAAATATTTTTTAGGGCCAATATGTTTCTTATGTATTACAAGTCTAAAATCCAGCATGTACACGGCTTTTATTCCCTTCCAAAATAATTTATTTGCTGTCATTGAAAAGAATTTTAATGTGTTTCTGACTTTTCTTATCATAGCTCAAATTTATCAACCATGACATTATTCATTTTTTGCTGTTAAATGCTTTCATATAATCTGAGAAGGTTTATGTTTTCTCTGTACTTCTCTTTGCTGATAATATAACAAGAGAGTTGCCTGTCAATATGTTTCTCTTTCTTGAATATGGAAAAGGGCACAGAAAGTGGTGTGTTTAACGGGACTGGACCGCTTAGAGCTTTGGTTCACTGGTAAAGTTGAACTGTGTGTTCTTAAGGCTGTCATAATGCACGCCCTACTCTAGGTTCATTGCCATATGTTCTGTTTATACACAAGTTAGCACTGCCAACAGTGGTCATGCTGTCACTTTACTTTCCGGTTTGGAAGGACATCTGAAGTTAGTGGCCTATATCTAAGAAGGAAATCTCTCCTGGAAACTGCTCATGAAAAATAATTTTTTAGTTGGATTTGGGCAAGTAAAGTATTTTTCCTACTAAGTCTCATATTGGGTCTCTTCTTTTATCCCACTAATGTCCTTAGTGTTCTGAAGGTCAACCCTTCGTTGACCTCTGCAACAGGAACAGCGCATGGGAGCCTAATCGATTCATTGCTGATACTGTAAGAGAGCCTCGGGAGGCGGAAGGATCTAGGGCAACACTAGCACACAGAGAATAGAATGAATGGGAAACATAATGTCAAATAAATACAAATAAGAAAATTAGAGTTGTTGAAAATCTATGATGTGTTAAAAACTGTCTTGTTTGGAGGCCAAAGGATATTCTATACTTATAAATCTAATTATAAATTACAAGTCCAGGGGCGCCTGGGTGGCTCAGTCAGTTCAGCATCTGACTCTTGATTTCGGCTCAGGTCATGATCTCAGGGTCATCAGATTGAGCCCTGCATGGGGCTGTGCACTGGGTGTGGAACCTGCTTAAGATTCTCTCTTCCTGGGGCGCCTGGGTGGCTCAGTCGTTAAGCGTCTGCCTTCGGCTCAGCTCACAATCCCAGGCTCCTGGGATCAAGCCCCGCATCGGGCTCCCTGCTTGGCAGGAAGCCTGCTTCTCCCTCTCCCACTCCCCCTGCTTGTGTTCCTGCTGTTGCTCTCTCTCTCTGTCAAATAAATAAATAAAATCTTAAAAAAAAAAAAGATTCTCTCTTCCTCTCCCTCTGCCCCTCCCCTCCCCTCTCTAAAAAATTTACACATCAGAAAGTACAAAGAACAATTTATATTTATATTTTAGGGATATGTTTAAATTCACATTATGTGTTCACTTAGCAGACTTGTTTTCTATTGAAAAATCACTGAATACATTTTCAAGACTATGAATATTTTGAATTGTTAAGATTTTTTTATTTATTACAGGTCAATATTAGTGTCCTCATTTTAAGGAAATCACCTCTTTCTTTTATTGAACTGCAGCTCAAAGAGTCATTCAAAGATATCAAAAAGAAATTCAACAATTTAAAGTTTAATTACACTAAGAAAAATGAAAAAGCTCGGAACCTGAAGGCTCTTAAATATCAAATTCAACAAGTTGATGTGCATGCCGAAAAAATACAGGTAAAGAGAAAGTGTGGATGGTGTGTCTGTGTGTGTGTGTGTGTGTGTGTATGCGCGTGTATGCACTACTACAATTATTACAAAATCAGTTTGCATTTCAATTCTAGATGCCTAACCCTTGGGCTTTTTTGCAGCACTGGGATTCAGAAGGTAGCTTTCTGCTTTTGTAACAGTTCAGTTCCTCATGTAAAATGTATAAGTTAATTTATCTCTTGAGGCAGCTCTAGAATGGATTCTACCAAACCTACCCAGCCTCTCTGCTTCCATTCTTCCTCACAACACACACAGGCACTCATGCATGCACGCACACACATGCGCAAATACACCTTTTATACGCCCCCTTTCCTTTCCTTACACATGCCTATGTCAGGAACTTCCTCCGCTGCTCCCAGGCTTATACTACCTCGATTACCACATGAACCAGCTAGATTATTTGAATATCTTTCCCAGGAGACAGTGAGCTTCCTGAAGACAAGAAAATATTTTATTTTATATGATCATTATCTTTTTTTAAATCATAATATCATTCTTGAAATCTGGAATAGGACCTGGTATATAGTGAATATTCTATATGATTTTAATGATGGATCAATAAACTATGTGGAAGAAAACCCATTCTTTCCAAAATACATTTGTGATCATTATGATTTTAATATATTATCATGGAGAAAGCTGCAAAAATTTTCCCCAAGTTTTTCTCTCAATATGTAATCACCAGCTAGCCTCATGAATAAAAATTGAATCTTATTTTTAAAACTATTTCTTTTTTGCACAGGCTTTGAAAAAGAAAATGGAAAAAGTTGAGAACAAAACTTCTGATTCTTTCTTAAATTATCCAAATAATAAAGTTAATGTTCTTTTAGAAGCAATGAAGGATTTGCAAAAACATGTGAATGAGTTTGAGAAAGTTGTGACAGATTACAAGGTGAATTTGGACCTGACCGAACACCTCCAGGAGATGATAGAAGAGGTATCCTCTTCTCGTTGTAATGGTGTCCATATGTAATGTTTTTAAAAATTGTTCTGCTAATTTAAAACAATGCTACTGCAGTTAATTTTGTCATTAAATCTATGCATCATCCCCCTTTTCATGATTATTGCCTTAGGATAATTTCTTAAAGTAGAATTGCTGGACCAAAGCGGATGAATGTTACAAGGTTTGATTGTATTGTCCAGTTGTTCTTCATAAAGATTTTACTAATTTACTCTTACCAGCAACATATGAGAGTTTCTCATTTCTCCATAACTCCATCAACTCAAGATGTTTAACCATCATGGAATTATGCTCACTGCTGGATATCTGTTTAAAATACTCAGAATGACTTATTTATTTCACGGAATTTGAAAATGTTTAGAAAGAAATGTGGTACTGGGATGTTTCAGGTACAAAAATTGTTATTGGTGTTATTTTGTTTTTGTCAAGAGGATAAATGGTAGAGTATGCATAAACTATATGAGATTTGACAAGTTATTATTTGCACACTTCATATTGAAGAAATTCCACACTTGGAAGTTCTTTATGGCCCATTATTCTGTGATACAAAATGTCTCTTTGCCACAGATGCAGCAGTTTTTAGATTTAACACTGCACTAAGAAAGATGAAGATGATCATTCTTCTATATCTGATCTATAGGTTTGCTGTGGCCCTGTGGCACTTTTTTAAAGCCAGCTCCTAACAGAGTCATGTGTTTCTATTTCTCACTCATCATAATTGCTCTGGCCTTGGTCAGACACGTTCCTTCCATCACAGTTATTTAGTATTTTTGGTGAGAAACTGTCTCAATTATCCACTGTGCTTTGAAAATATAACTTGAGTACCTTCTATTAAAAAAAAAAAAAGGTCAAATGCTGTTCTTTAGATGATACTTCCTCAACCCATAAACTAAATCTCATTCTTAAAAGAGAATTTCTTTATTAGAGTGTTAATCAGGAAGTACTTTATCCATGTATTGTTAATTATTTCAATTATTTAGGCAGGATTTTGTATGTTTGGGCTTTTTTCTTTACTTTTAGCTGATACTTTAATTCTTTTTCGGGTCATATGCTTTTTATATTTCCTATTCTTGTAAGTCTGCAAGGTTCTTAGGAAGTCTATTTCAGGCAAATCTAAGAAGGCAGGAAAATCAAATGAATTTCCATACCTTTATTTTCTTATCTAACTCTAATACCCTAGTGCAGAAGCCTATGATCATATTTTGACATTTTCCTTGTTATGACTTAGAAAGTTCAAGCTAATGTGACTATAACATTTGAGGAAATTGAAATTTGATACTTCAGTGGTCAAAATGAAGAACTTTAGAAGGATGGTGTCGCTTTAATCTATGCTTTATCCCATTTTAATTTAGTGTCACTTTTGGTGTGAAGATGCAAGTGCCACAGTTGTAAGAGTTGGAAAATATTCCACAGAGTGCAAGACAAAGGAAGCTGTGGAAATTCTCCACCAGCAGTTCAATAAGTATATCATGCCCTCAGTGCCTCAGCAAGAAGAAAGGATTCAGGAGATCAGTGACCTAGCTCAGCGCTTATATGGTGAGGTCTCTTTTAAAATATCCAGCAATTTGCCATTGAACAAATCTATAGCGAACCTAATCCATCAGAAAGCAGAGCATGGCAAGCCCTCAGGGTCCTCACTACAGCAATTATTCAGGCAAGAGACTCAAGATAAGAGCCCATATCTATAAAAGTAAACAGTAGGGAATAGGGGAAGGAGCTTCTACCTGCAGGAGAGGAAGACTTTGGATTTTAACTATCTTGTGTAAACCCTCCTTCTCTACTCTCTTTTCTCCCCTATTCCTGTTGATCATCCCCAGGGTAATAAAACCAGAACAATACTCAGTTTATGTAGACAAAAAAAAAAATCTCATTTTCACGAGGGTGATTTCTTGAAAAACATGCAAAACTCCCATAATACTTTAAGTGGATGTTAAGCTAAGATTGACGTCTACATGGTTTGTGGATTTAAGAAACAAGATGGTTTGGTTAGTGTATTTAAGGAACCATTCCCTCGCCTTCCTCTCCCTTGTGGAATAAACAGGAGAACTCAAATTATCATCTCTCTGGTTCTGCTTTTCTCTTCTCCATGACCAGGAAAGATAATACACTTGTCAGTCTCAAGAGTCTTTCTATCTAAAGGAAGCCGTCTGGGTGATGACAGCTCATGGGGGTGCTGAGGAATAAGTTTCACGAATCCCCTGATATCATTCCTGTAGACCAAAGGTAGTTCCTGGTGGCCAGGCAAATCTAGCTCAGAAAGAAGATAGCAACAGGAGGCACAAAATGCTTCAGCTGGCTTGCCCACATTGCTGCCAGGTGGATATTTTCTCACATGCCATAAAATGCTATGTATGGGTAGCTATAAAAATGTGTAGAATCATATATACTGTACTACCTAATATTAAATTATTGAGAATAAATTATTAATGCTTTTCCAAGGGAAAAAATAGAAACATAAAAATAATAAAATATAGATTGAAAAATTAATGAAAATGAATGTGATGTCTCATTCCTACTGTAGTTACTTATAAGTGCACTAAAAAATTGTGAATGCCCTCTGCCTCCACAGCATTGTATGTGGTTCCCTCTATTTTTGTACTTTCCAAACTGTAGCAAAATTACCTGTTCATCTATCTTCTCTATTGACCATAAGCTCCTTGAGGGCAAGGGAAGCATGTTTTGTCACTGTTTTTGAGTGCCTATTCAATTTCAGGACACAGCAAGTACTCACAAAGACCAGATACTAGTTAAATTCCCCTCCCTTCATGCATATCCTGCATCCTGCTTTGTCTGTGTTCTTGGCCCTTATCACCAACTGACAGATTGTATAGTTATTTGTCTGTTGTCTGGCTTTTACACCAGAGTGTAAGCTCCATGGGAGAAGGGATTTTGCCTGTTAGTTTACTGCTTCATGATACATACTAAGTGCTTAACAAATATGTGATGAACAAATGAATCATAGACTGAATACCTTGAACAAATAAATAAAAGTCATGAATCTTCATCTGCTCAGTATGGAAGCTATGCAATTTTTAAACTTTGCAATAAGTAAGAAGCTTTAGGAATATTATATTAACTCTTACAGGCCACCCAAGCATCCTTGGACCCAGAATTGTCATGCAAATAAATTTATCTCAAAAAAAATTTTTGAGTACCTATTATGTATGAGGAGGTGCGATTGATATAAAGACAAATAAAACTTAGTTCCTTCATTCAAGAATCCACAGCCTAGGCCTAGAAGTCATGTTACAGTAAAGGCAGTAAGAAAGGTATGAAAAGTGTGTATTGGTTTACTAGGGTTAACATCACAAAATACCACAGACTGGGCGGCTGAAGCAAGAGAAATTCATTTCCTCACAGTTCTGGAGGCTGGAAGTCCAAGATCACAAGATCACAGCGCTGACAGGGTTGGTGTCGCCTGAGGCTTTCCTTCCTGGCTGGCAGCTGGCTGCCTTCTTGCTGCCTTTTCACTCAGGCATCCCTCTGTGCACACGCTCACCCTGGTGTCTCTCCCTCATCTTATACCGGTGGGATCCAGTCATACTGGATTAGGGCCCCATCCTCACGGCCTCATTTTAACTTAATCACCTCTTTAGAGATCTTATCTCCAAATGTGGTAACATTCTGAGATACTGGGGATTGAGGCTTCAACATAGGAGTTCTGGAGGAGACACAATTCAGCCCGTAAAAATGTGAAATATCGCTTAGTTTAAACCATGGAGTCTGTAATCCCTGTTTCAAATCCCGGCTCCTGCAGTTACTGTCTGGGTAACCTGAAGACGCTCCCTGAGCCTCAGTTGCCTCATTTGTAAAATGCAATAGAGCCTAGAGAATCCCAGGAGAATTACATTAATGCATATAAAGTACTTAGCCATAGTCAAATAGTAAGTACTCACTACCTGGTAGCTATTTTTATTATTATTCCAGTAGAGAGAGGTAAAATCTACGTGGGCAAGATAAAGAGCATGTCACAAAGATACTGGTATTTGAAGTAGACAGTAGGGAGTGAGGGAAGGGCATTCCTGGTACAGGATAGAATATTCAGTGGCTGTGGGGAAGAGTCGCTGGTGCACTTTGACCAGAGACTAAATATGTGAGGGAACTACGGTGACATACATTTGGGAGAAGCACCTTGAGACCATTTCTGAATGCATAAATAAAGAATTGACAATGTTCTGAACAGGAAATGACTGATTAGAGTGGTGCTTTAAGAATATTAACATAGCAACATGATTTAGGTCACATAAAAGTGACAAGGTATAGCAAATGTAACCATTTTTCTGGGGTACCTGTTTTTTCAAAAAATGCCTTCATTCATTCATTTATCTACTTAACAAGTATTGATTAAGCACTTACTGTCTACCAGCCTTTACACCAGACACTGGGGAGGTGAATTAATACCTGGGATTTTTTTTTTTTTCTGCTAGGGATTTGACCTCAAAAATAGTTTTTTGTCCCTTCTCCTCCCCAGGTTTTGAAGAAGGGCAGAAATACGCTGAGAAAATAGTGGCAAAACACAAAGACGTTCTTGAATCTATCACTGAATTATGTGTCTCTCTCACAGAGCTTGAAGAAAAGTTGAAGGTAATTTCTTCTTCCCAGAATATGTATTTTCAAGTGATATAAATAAAAATGTGTTGATAAGTGTCTTCTAGTGCAAAGATGTTCTAATAGAAATTCTCAAGGGACATAATGTGCACATTTGTTTCACAGCTTTCTAACATAATTATCTGGGTGTTTCTGATAATTAATTCTGTTTCTTTTCCATCACTGCAGAGAAAAATATTGCTGGGAAGGAGGGCTAAACACAATTAAGGTGTCTCATTTACATTTTCATGGATCACATCCTAAAGGATAAATGTGTGCCATTAAAATCAAAGTAAAGTCTGTGTTAAGTAGCCTTATGTTTTCATTCCCAAATAATAAATGGAAGGGTTTTTTTTTCCTTCCAAATTGTGGCCCCAGAGAAAATAAAACTAAATCTTCAGGTATTATATTCATTGAATATTTAGCTTCATGGAAGTATTAAACTAATCATTAGCATCCTTCATGAAATAAAAAGTTGATGGAATAAAGAATAGAGAGAAAGTATGTTGATGCCTAATGCCTAGGCAAATCCAGTTAAAAGAGAGAAATGCATATATTGTTTTGTCCGTATTTTGTGAAAACTAGCTTCATTAGTACTGTTTTAATGACTGGCTGAAAGAATTGGTTACTTAGGAGGGAGAGAATAACGAGGTGATTAAGAACATAGAGTAAAACACAGAGTAAAATACAGCTGCCTAGGAATACCAGTTCTCCAAATTACTGGATTTGTGATTTGGGGTAAATTACTTCATCTCTTTGCGTCTCAGTTTCTTGATCTGTACAATGGAGTGAATAGGGGAACCTAATCATAGAGTAACCCCAGGAATTGAAATGTGAAGACACCCATAATTATTGTGATCATTGTTGATATCGAGACATAAGGGTGCTCTTGTAGTTCAGAGCAGAATTATATTTCTAGCAATCATTTTTTCTGTATGAATTTACATGTCATAAATTTGAGTACTCAGTCCATTCAAAATAGTTTGCTAAGCTTTTAATTGAGTGAGTGACCAACTAGATTATCTTTATTCCTTAAGAAACTAGATTTTCAACTTTTTTACCATTTTATATAACACTGCAATGAACATCTTCACACATAAAGATTTTTTTTTTTTCTCTTGTATTGTTCCCTATACATAAACTCTCCAGAGCAGATTTGGGTAAATGAGCATGAAGTTGTTAATGTTTCTAATATACATATGTTAAATTACATTCCACAAACATTTTACAATTTTAATGCCACCAGTAATGTATGAATGTGCCATATGCATATTATCTTTTTAAACAATGATCATTTCTTCTCCACCTCAAACCAACCCTCTAAGGATCTGTTTCTTCTCCTGACTTCCAGTACACAGCTTGAAAATTGCTGCTTCCTCTGGCTCTTTGCTCTTTATTATCTACAACAGCCTTCCCATTTCTGTTGTACATCTTCAAGTGAGGTCCACTTAACAAAATTTACCCTTATCTCTGTCTGCTTTTCACCTCATGACTATTCTTTCTGAAAGCACTTGCCACTCCCTCTGCCCACTTCCTCATTCCCCATTCCTTTTACACCCATTAGTCAGGATTGCACCCTCTTTTCCTCATTTTCAACCCATCACTTGGATTCCCTTTTGCACTAGTCAGGAGCCTCCTAATTATACACTCCAGCTAGATGAACCTTCCTAAATACAGCTGCTAGTATCGTTTTTACATTCAAAGCACTTCGCTACAAACTCTTCATTGCTTACCAAAAACAGTTGAAAATCAAGGCCTTTTTCCATTGTTCTGAGGCTGAGTCTTTCCAAATTAGTGTTCTTCTGTATTCATTGTAGGTCCCTGTCTCACTGGTGTACTACCCCAGATTCCTGAATTTTCTGCTTCTAAACCTTCATGTACATGACCTTCTCTCTCTGCTTATCTAAATTTCACCATCTCTCAAAGCCAAACCCAAATGTTGCCTCCTTCACAACTCCTTTGCAGGCTGTGTCCCTGCCTCTCTGATCCCCCAGAGCACTTGTATTCTTTCCTACTATAATCATCACATGTAACTACCATCACTACCCTAACTCATCTACTTGACTACACCTGGGGAAACCCTATGGCTCTGTTCAGTTTAGGGTCCCACACAACATTTAACATTGTGCTTTACCCAAACCAATTTCTCCAGAAAGAGTTTTGGCATTTGTAGTAAAAACTCAAATGATTGGTACAGAGAAGAAGAATCATTCAATAGCTCAAAAAGGTTTGATTTGGGTGGATATAAAAACAAGGAAGGGCCTCTCTGGCAATAGTTATGGCCATCAGCAAGGCTCTTACAAGTTAGAGCCTGAACAAAACTTGTCAAAGAATGCTTACTAACACAGCATAAATGTCTAGTTTTTATGTTTTAAGGTTGATGCTATGGCTATTTTGTAGGGGTTATTAAAAATAGGCCCAGAAATCCCTATCAAGGCTGAAATAGTGATAATAATCCTTTCTATTTGTATTAACAATTTGAGATTTACAAAGGCTTTTCGTATATATTACTTCAGTGATTTCCAAATAACCTTGTGATGGTGATACGGCAAATGTTGTTTTCCTATTTTATTATTTATGAACGGGGCAGGAGGGGCAGAGGGAGAGAAGCACAAGCAGACTCCATGCTGAGTGTGGAGCCCAATGAAGGGCTCCATCTCACAGCCCTGAGATCATGGCCTGAGCTGAAACCAAGAGTCGGATGCTTAACCACCCAGGTTAATGAGCCACCCAGATACCCCATTTTCCTTGTTTTAGAGGTAGAGTTCACAGAAGGTAAAAGTGCTTTGCCTGGGGTCTCACCATCAGTAATGGTAGAATCTAGAATTAAATACAATTCAAAATCTAGCATTCTTTCCACAACAACTGCCATTTTGAGATTAGATATCAAGAGTACCTTATCCACTAACACCAACCAGCTTATGTTTTAGAGTTAGACTAAAAGCTGAATCTCTCCCCAAATTCTCTGAGTCCATATAGCACATGCACTTTGAGGAGTGTGCTGTTTTCTTAAGGCCCATCTAATGACCATATTCCAGGTGGAATAGAGAATATTCTGATGTGGTATAATCCATCATCCTAAATTTGGTGTACCTGAGGCTCCTTTCACCTTTACAAAGACTTCACAGCCCTCACAGGGACTCCCCAGCAGCTTGCAAGCCCTTGTACTTCCATGACTAAAACAGCTCCATGAATGATAGAAGCAAAATATCATCACCCACAGGAAGCATCCTTTGTTCTCAATTTTTTTTCTTTACCATACCCAGTGATATTTTCTTCCTCTCTTCAAGTTTCCCAAACATTTGCTTATGCAAATTCTCTGGATTTCCTTTTTGTTCTCCACCAAAATCTTCAAACATTTCTTCCTTAGCACTGGTCCCCTAAACTCTCCTGATGGCTTAGACTGCCATGTACAATGATTCCTTTATCTAGAGAATGTTCCTGTAGGTATATCCTACTGCAATAATGACTTTGTTCTGGCTGGGCCTTTGAACAACCCATTTTTACTGGCAATGAATTTTATCAAAGGAGTGAGGTAGATGGGGAACTGTGAGCTTGACAAGATAATTTTGTAAATCACATCATGGGAGTAGTCAGTCTCTTGTGGAATACATTTCCTGAAGGGTTCCAACTGGTCTATGTTTTCTTCCAAGTGGTTATTGTGTAGCACTGTACCTCCAACTTTCCTGGCCCAGGCTCTCACTTTAAACATTGGTTTGTACAGCAGGGAGACATTTTAAAGACAAATGTGAATTTAGAAGATTTCCATGGTGACTTCATCGACCTGCTAAAAGAACCAGCAAGAAATAAGCAGACACTATTCAATGAAGAAAGGAATAAGGTAAAGAAAACTGTGTAATCTCAGTCATTCATTTTGTTTTGAGGTTAGAGTCCTTGTTCGTTGAAAAAAAAAAGGGAATTAAAGCCTTGTTATCTACCTAAATCAAATCTTTCAATATACATGCAACGTGAGTGTCCTTATCCTGTACTTCCTTTCTACCCCTTACTTAGTCCTTCTTCTTCCACCTATGCTACTTTCCTCTGAGCGCTTCCTGTTTAATAGTGGGACCACAGCATTGCACAGTGGTATTGGGATAGCCATTCAGTCACCATACTGTCACTCCAAACCACTTCTATTTCTCCCACCATTAGCTGCCTCTCCCATTTTCCTTTTATAGTCAATCCCAACTTCAAATTTGACTTCTCTCTATCATACCACCAAGCTATGGTTCTGAAGTTTTACACTACCCACTGGAAAACCTTAATACATGAAATTAGCTTGTGTCTTATTCCACCAAAGCTATCTCTAAGATGATATTTCCAGGTACATATACTAAAACATAGAATCCAGCTGAAATATAAATACTAAAGTAGAGAAATATTTAAATTACTTTAAAATCTATGTATTACAGATAAATTAAGCATGTAGCAAAAACTGCAAATATTCACAAAATGCAAATGTTCCATGATTTCAAAAGCATTATTTAAATCACATCATTATGGATTTTCAGTATAAGTTGCTCACTCTCTATTCATAGCTGCTGGACTAAATTAGCTCCTATCTTTTTGCTTTGCCAAGTTTGCTTCTAGTGTTTCTCTTTCTCCCAAGGAACTGAAGGAACAAACAGAGTCAACATTATTCTCAACTGCCCCCAAATTAATAAAGTATACTTCTTGTGACATGAGAATTTAAAATAAATATCTCCCCACTTTCTCATAGAGAAAAATTTCTTTCCTTGAAGTCAGTACAATTCTTAGATCATCTATATAACCTTTTATAATCTTTTCCACAGGTTAAATCTATGTCAAGGTCTACTGCAATTATACAATCTCCAGGCAGCAAGTATCATTATGCAAACTGGCTTTTTTGTGGTATGGTCTTGAAGCATTTAAGCCCTGATTCTACTCTGAGGCAAAGGAAGGTGGCCAAACCTTGATCACTTTGTTGAATCTTAGTCTTATATCAAATGGTCTTTCATTATTGTGATTGGTCTATCAGTGTTTATCAATCTCAGTATATTGACATTTTGGCGCAGAAAATTCTTTGTTGTGGAGTGCTGTCCTGTGCATTATAGGATATTTAGCAACATTACTGGCCTTTATCAACTAGATGCCAGTGGCACTCCCCCCCACAACTCACCCAGTTGTCATAACCAAACAACATCCATGGACATTGCCAAATGTTCCCTGGGGAGCAAAATCACCCTTGATTGAGACCAACTAGTTGAAATAGTAAAGAATAACATTCAGTGCATCACATTTTCTTAACTAGGTTTCTTTCTTTTTTTTTTTCTAAGACTTTATTTATTTATTTGAGAGAGAGCAAGTGAGAGAGAGAGCACAAGCAGCAGGGAGTGGCAGAGGGAGAGGGAGAAACAGTCTTCCCACTGAGTAGGGAGCCCGATCTGAGGCTCGTTCTCAGGACCCTGGGATCATAACCTGAGCCGAAGGCAGACACTTAACCTACTGAGCCACCCATGTGCCCCTTCTTAACTAGGTTTCTAAGAGATACTAAATTCAACTTATTTTTTAAATTCTGCACATTGTCCACACTGTCAGCCACACTAATTTACTAAGAATTGAAGTGAAGGCCAATGATACCAAAGCAAACACACTCATTTATACTTAGTAAATATGGATTTTCTTTCTTTTATTTATTTTTCTTAGAAAAAAATTAAAGGAACAGATTTCTTTAAATAAAAAAGCAAGATTTATTTTCATTGAGAAATCAATTATTTATTTATTTATTTATTTGAGAGAGGAGAGAGAGAAACAGCATGAGATGGGAGAGGGTCAGAGGGAGAAGCAGGCTCGCCGCTGAGCTGGGAGCCCGATGCGGGACTCGATCCCAGGACTCCAGGATCATGACCTGAGCCGAAGGCAGTCGCTTAACCAACTGAGCCACCCAGGCACCTGAGAAATCAATTTTATTTTAATATGAATTAAAAGGTTATCTGTTTGTAGTATAAAAGTAAAGGACCACAATTATAGCTGTAAAAAACTCTCACTGACATCATTTACATATACATTCTGGTACAGTTGGCACAGAGAGCAAAATGAAAGGGTGGCAGTAATCTTCCCTTTAAACAGCTCAATAATGTTTACCATTTTATTGTCTCTATCATTTATATTATGGGTCAGATGTAATGATTTCCCAAAAACCATGTGGACAGATAACAAAAATCACCAAGTAAAAAAAAAAGAGCTTATCTGGGAATCATTGTGTCCAATTCTGTGTCCAATCCAAATGGTGTTGACCGTCCTTGGAAAGTTATTTGACTCAGAAAGAACAATTCCAGAAGTGTTTGGTCAGAGGAAGATGGCAGTGGAGTAGGAGGGCCCTCGGCTCCTCTTGTCCCACAAACACAACTAGATAACTATCAAATCATCCTAAATATCCCAGAAATCAACCTGAAGACAGACAGAACAAACTCTACAACTAAAGGGAGAGAAGAGGCCATATCAAAGAAGGTAGGAAGTATGAAGATGTGGTTTAAGGAAGAAACATCACAGATGCTGTGGATGCGAAGAAAGGTGAGAGAGGAGCACAAGGAGAACATTTCCCCAAAGACATTGGCTTGGAAAACAAGGGGCTGAATTTTGTGAGTTCTTGCAACCAGCAGGGCTTAAAATCTGGAGTCTTAAAGGTCAGCAGGCTTGGCTGGGATAGAACCCAGAGGGCACTGCCCTGCTCTTAGAGAGAAGGCAGGCAAACAACATGGGGACAGACAGCATGGAAACAGCAATCTGAAGAACGCCTGGGGCACACAGTGGGGAGATTATTCACTCTTCTTGGAGTGGAGTGCATTCCTGAGAGGCAGTGTTTATGGAAATGCCTCTCCGGGAACAAAGAAGCTGGATGACACCATTTTCCTCCCCCACCCCGTCTATGGGAAGCAGTGCAGTGCCAACACTAGCTGCCTAACTTGCTTACACCAAGGCCCACACCCCTGTGCTCTGACGGGGCTGCCCCTCTCAATCAAGCTTGCCTCAGTCCTAGCACAGCAGCCCCTCCCCTGAACACTAGTACAAACCTCTGCCCACACCATGTCTCCTGACCAGAGAGTTCTTCAGGGCCTCAGTTCTGGTGGAGGTGGTGTCTGATCTCATTTCACAAGCAGACCAGAGCACATGTAGTTAAAACTCACCACATGCAGGCAGAGAACCAAACACTGCCCACAGCAGGCAAGAGAGCCTCTCCAGATGACTAGCCTGAAGGATAGAGCAGCCAAAACACAAGAGCAGAGCACATGTAGCACATACCAGAGACACTCCCTAAAGTGTCAGGCACTGGGCACTACATGACTTCTTCTTCATTAGGCCATTACTTTCAGGAGCAGGAGACATAACTGGCTTTTCTAACACAGAGAAGAAGGCAGAGACTTAGACAAAATATGAAGATGTCAGAATTTATCGCAAATGAAAAAACAAGATAAGGCCATGGTCAGAGATCTAGTAAAACAGATACAAGTAACATGCCTGATGGAAAATTTAAAGCAACAATCATAAGGATACTCGTAGGACTTGAGAAAAGAATAGAGGTCATCAGTGAGACCCTTTACAGAGAAAAGAGTTAAAAAAGAATCAGTTAGAGTTGAAGAGCACAATAAATGGGATTGGAAAGATGCTCGATGTAATGAACGGCAGGCCGGAAGAAGCAGAGGAATGAATTAGTGACCTAGAAGACAAAATACTGCAAAATAATGAAGCTGAACAAAAGAGAGAAAGAGAATTATGCAACACAAGAATAGGCTTAAGGAACTCAGTGACTCCATCAAACATAATAACATTCATGTTATAGGAATCCCAGGAGAAGAAAGAGAAAAGGGGGAAGAAAATTTATTGGAAGAAATAATAGTGGGGCACCTGGGTGGCTCAGCCAATTAAGTGTCTGCCTTCGGCTCAGGTCATGATCCCAGAGTCCTGGGACTGAGCCCCATGTTGAGCTCCCTGCTCAGTAGGGGGCCTGCTTCTCCCTCTCCCTCTGCCCCTCCTCCCGACTTGTGCTCTCTCACTCTCAAATAAATAAATAAATAAATAACCTTAAA